AAGAGTCCAAGCCTCTCCATTTTTTCCCCTAAATCTACATCACATTAAAACCAATAAAGATGTGGCAGTAACTGATAATTCTCTATATACATACTGAAATAGAAGCAAAGAAGTTAGTTATGACGAATAGCTGCTTTATGCCATAACCAGTAGTGTCTGGAGCCTCTCTGCCAAAAAGCCTTAGGTGTCAAGGAGCTCCCTGAACCTGACAGCCCTTCTGCCTCCCAAGAGCCATGCAGTATTTTGCTGGACTGCACTATCAGGGATGGTGACACACAAACCTGCATCCAGGGAATCTAAATAAGCCTGATTTCATTCTCTGTGCACATCTGCACTAACAAATGCCTCAAGAGGGTCCACGTTCACCACAAGCTTTGTAATTTTCCATTATCAAGACTCCTTGAGGTTGTGGCTATTTATCACGGAACCCACCAGGAACTACTTGGTGTGCTGAGAAACGTACATCTCAAACAAGCACCACTGGGATGGTAACACAGTATTAGCAAAAGAAACACTCTGAACTGCAGCAGGAAGGCCACAAGGACATTGGTGGCATAACATTGATAAAGAGTGAGGAGCAGCCAGTAGTCAAAAGATATTCCAGATATCAGAGGTATTGGAGAGGGTGGGGAAGAAGAAACAGCATTTACATTTATAATCATGTGACACCTAAACTGTGGTTTAGTTTGTACTTATACTACACCATATAAAGATGGAGACTTCACTCATCTTTACTACACATGTTCTTGATTTGCAGAGCCCTAAACATTCCCAGCAAAGCTGTAAGGTTTTTATACAAAATTTAGGCTTACTGATGGGCATGCTGTCCTCGATTGGATGTGCGAGATGAATTTGAGGGACTTATAGGCAGCTGCAGATTGTACGATGAAAATCACTATAAAACAAAATCTCAACTTGCCTCGTATCATTTCTTGGAGATGTTATATACCACTGTTACGTGTTCAAATAGCACTGAACGTTATAAAATAACAGGAACTTTTGCCTTTTAATTTTTTTCCTTTAGTTTTGTCCGTTTTTTTCCTTTTCTGTTTTTAGTTCATAATGAGATAAATACAGCAAAACCAGAGCAAACCTCTTAAGTAAAGAATATTAATAGTGAGAAGATCACAGCTATAGGACAATTCCATATGGGATGCCCCACCAAGTCAAAGACGTAGTTCCTCAGTGTTTTTATGATTAAGACATTTTCTGAGGTTCACTTTTTGTCTTCGGCTACCTCAGAAAAGAAGGGTGCTCGCAGGAAAGGAAGCATGGCTGTTTTGGCAGGAACAGTTCAGCGAAAAGAGTCAGAGCCAGTGCAACCAGCGAAACGCCAGCCTCGAGGCTGGCAATAACAACAAGGTTTTTGAGGAAAAGGCTGGCGTACTTCTCAAGCATGACCCTGCCGTCGGGCGGTGTTGCAGAAGTGGTACATACTGGGCGTAAGCGGCCCCTGAAATTGGAAGACACCGACTGGAGCCTCAGGACGTTCCCCGACATCTCGGGTGCTAAAGCGCCGGTGCCCCTGTGCCAGCTGATCGCCCCGGGACTGGAGCTGCACGAACACCCCTGGGTTATGCTAACGGTAATGAAAGCACCCGCCCGGCCGGCGGTGCGGTGGGGCCCCGCTCCGCT